AATGGATTTTAATACGATTAATCTTGAAAATATTTTTGAAGAAGATGACCAACTAAATGCATGGATTGAAGAAAGAGAGAATGCTACACTTGATAGTGAACAACATTTCTCATGGTTACTTGAGGAGTTACTTAATGAAACTGGTGAAGAAACTCAAGGTGAATATATGAACAGTTCACCTACTCCATCTAATGAGGAAAATATTCAACTATCGACGTCAAGTTATGATGATGACGACGACGACGGCGATAATGGTGGTTGTGATGATCATGGTGGTGATAATGAAAGTACGTACCAACCAGAATATGGACACATTTATTCTACTGTTTTTCATGGAGATCAAGGTACATCTATATAGTTCAGCTACAAATGATAATGAAATTAGTGAATCATCTCATGATTCTCATTCTTACCAATCAATTTCATGTTATCCACCTTACCTTGAACAAAATCCAAGTTATGATTTTTTTATCATCATTTATCATAAAACATGTTTCCTACCAATGATGCATCTTATGATGCACATAATATGATGTATTCTTCACTTGGAAAAGGAATGAATCAAAACCAAGACAATGACGAAGATGAAAATGCTTTAGTTCCGTCACACCATTTATTTTGGTGGTGAACTGTAAGGTATAAATTTTTATATTTGTAGTTATGTATTTTTTTTCTTTCTAAGTTATGTAAAATGAACATTTTTATGTTACAATATAAAAAAATTGTTATGATTTTAGTGATATTGTTTATATGTTATTCATTAACATTATATTATTATTATCCATATCCAGTATGATAGCTCTATGGTTTATATTTGTTTAATAAATTTTTATCTATGAAATTAAATTTTTATTTTCAAAATAAAATATTAAAAGAGTATATTAATATTGTTATATTAAAAGATAATTATAAAATGTATAAATATAATATTTTAGATATTATGAATTTTGAGAAAAAGATCACGTCCACGATAATCGTATCACATTACCTAACGTTCTCAGCATCTAAAACCGCTTAGGATTGTGATTGTGTGGCTTAGGATTTTCTGTCAGATTCTTGACGAACATGGGTTGTCTTACCCGTTTACATAGCATCATCATGAACTTGGTCATCTTCTAGTATGTAAATTCTGTGGAATGGTGCGCTGTCTGACGAGTACAAGCCCACTAGAGGTATCTGTCACGGATGTCCCCTCTTCCCGTACCTCTTTGTCCTTTTCATGGAGCAACTGAGCCAGAGCATACATTATGGCTTAAACCTTGGCATTTGAGAACCGATGACTTTATCTCGTGATGGTCCCTCGTTCTCCAATCTCTTTTCCGCTGACGCCATGATCTTATTATGTAAAGCTACTGCAAACAAAGTAGGGTTTATGCGTGCTATTCTTGATAAATTCAACTGGTTCTCGAGTCATAAGGTTAATTCGGCAAGACCAAGGTCTTCTTTTCCTTGAATGTCCTGGATAATATTATAACCGATCTCTGTGCTACGTTGGGCTTTCAGCATTCCTCGAACCTTGGGAAGTATTTGGGCATGCCTCTCTTCCATGACAGAATCACAAAGAACACCTTCCAATTCATGCTTGATAAAATTCGTACCAAGCTCAACGGGTGGATGGCTTTGAAGCTCTCCATCGCGGTCGAATTACGTTGGGTAAGTCTACTTTTATGGCTATTCCCAATTACTTTATTAGACTATGGCCATCCCGAAAGGTATTTACGACCAAATTGAAAACATAACTAGCCGATTCATTTGGGGTGGGTCTAATGAATCCCCCAATGCTAGCCTTGTTAATTGGAATGACTATTGCCAGTCGGCTCAATACGAGGGTAAGGGTTGCGTCCTCTTAAGCACCAGAATGAAGCTTTTTTGATTAAGCTGGGTTATAGCTTCCTTATGCAACCCAAAAAGCATTGGGGTAAGTGTTTGTCGCTCTAAGTACAAGGTTAAGACGATCACATTAATTGTAGAAACGACTCATTTGTTTGGAGGTCCCTCTCTAAGTTGAGGGATATTGTCCAAAATAATGTGAGTTGGTCCCTTGGTGATGTCAAACAAACAAGATTCTGGTCGGATTCTTGGATTTCTGGGGAGAATCCCTTAATTAGTCAGCTTACTAACAGTGGGATGTACGACTCTAATACCCCCGTCAGTGATTTCGTTACTGCTTCCAGGTCTTGGAATACCAAGAAGGTTCATCAGGTTTTGGATGATGGGCTTGTTCTACAGATCATAGCCATTCCACCTCTTCGGTTTGGTGACAGACCTGACCAACGTATGTGGCGTTGGACCCCTCAGATGGATGCACTGTGAAATCTGTGTATTACATGGTGCATCAGAATAGTTGGAATGACATCAGCCTCGTTGGAACCTTATTTGGCGCTTTGATGGCCCTCAACGAATCCGAAGCTTTATTTGGCTCGGCTGAGGAATTGTCTGATGGCAAACTCGAAGCGAACTCATCGTGGCATTGCTATCGATCCAGGTGTCTCGCATGCGATAACAGTGAAGAAACTATTCTCCATCCTTTGAGGAATTGCCCGGCTGCTTGTAATGTTTGGAACCAACTCATTCCATTACAGATGCAGAGTTTCTATTCCTATAATCTTTTGGATTAGTTTCAATCTAATCTTTCTTTTCCTACACGGGCTAACGATCTCTATCACTGGAAACATCTGTTCGAGATTCTTGCTTGGAGACTCTGGAAGCAAAGATGTTGTTTCATTTTAATGGAATATCTGGACCACGGAGGCCATTATTCACTCGGCAAAAGCCTGGGCGCAGATGCTCCATAACTGACCTAAGACCATCGACAAAGCGACGATATATGCTACCAAGATCAGCAAATGGAGACTCCGGAGTTATTAAACTAAATTCTGATGGCGTTGTTCACCTCCCATCAATGGAGGCCTCGAGTGTGGGGTGTGCTTCGTGATTCCAATGGAGATTGGTTGCTGGGCTATAGTCGTTATCTTGGGCGATGTTCGATCCTTCATGCTGAGTTCTGGTAAGTGATGGATGGGCTTCATGATGCTTGGAACCACGACATCCGTAGAATTGAGGTTGAGAACTTGAGACGGATATCTCCGAAGTCGTCAAAATTCTTACTATCCCTGGCCAACGTCACGAACCAAAAGTTATTCGGTGTACACGCGAGCTCGTGCAACGGAATCGGAGTATTAAAATATCCCATGTGCGTAGGGAAGCCAATAAGGTGGCTGACAGGGGTTCAATAGCGGAATGCAACCGCAATAGCGGCGTTATTTCGCGATAGTATTACCGTTGGAAACCGATATTTGGAAAATTCACAGTGAATAATGAAATCATGATAACAACGGTTCATCGCGATCGTAATTTAGCATTTAACGGTAAATAATGTCGATAATGGGAATGGGACGCTGTTCCCATGCAACAGTCTTAAAAAAAAGAACAAGCAAAAATAAAGGAGGCCAAAGAGAAAGAGAAAGAGATGTGCTCAATCGACTAAACTTTAATCATTGGGAAAATAAGCGATTAAAGAGTGGAGGCCAAAGAGGAAACAAAGGAGGAGACGAAGAGTCAAAAATCGAAGAAAAATGAAACCCTACCTGAGAAGAGTAAGAAACCCCTGACAAGTGAGAATAGGGAAAAAGCCGTTCAACTCTTACTTAGTTACTCTCATTTCCTATTCTTTTAATTAGGGTAAATTATCTAAATCATCAATCAACTTTCTTATATCTCTTATTTTACTCATTGAACTCTAAAAGTTTTCAACTTACTCAATAAACTTTCAGATTGTTATTATTTTGGTCACTCCTTAACATTATAATTATTATGTTTTAGGATAAATTGTGCGAAATTTAAAAATTTTACAACCGCGACACTGCAGTGACCGTGATGACTTCCGTTATGTCTGTAATTACGAGAAACACGACGTGACCGCGAACACTATTTAAATCTCTAGAAACTGATGCTTTAACTAAGTTGAGCAAGAAGGCGTCTACGAGGCTGTCTAAGATTTTCGAAACTTCTTATGCCATCCTTAAGCTACTGCAAGCTGATATGACTAACCACTAGTCCAATGACCAACTTTGTAACCCAAAAAAAAAAAAATGGTGAACAAATAAATATAAAAAAAAAATATATCTGTAATTAAAAAATATTTAAGGTAATTAATTCTTCGAATCTTTTAAAAAAATTCCATAATAATATTTTGATAAATATATTAAAAATATTAATAATTATATTTAGATATATGATTGATAGCATAAGTAGGAGGATTAACTAATTTTCCAGATGCACGAATCGAGTAATCTTATTGGTAAAAGAATTGCTGTTATTTTTTAAGATCTTAGATTTGAGCATTCGGAATGTCAGAGGTGTGAACGTTCAATGTCAAATGATTGAAAATTATTTTTAAACAAATATTACTTTACACTTACTCCAGATTAATAAGGAAAAAAACTAATTTTCTAGACGGTTAACTATTATTATCTAATCTATACTGATATTAATACTTTTGATTATTTTAAGTTTAAAATGACATCAGCTCACTCATAATTAATTAAATTTTTATATCAAAGACAAAACTATGAGGGAAATATGTTTTTTTTAAAAAAAATGTTAACTTTTTTCCTAAGAAAATCCCTCCCGACTATTTTTTGAAGAGAATAATTATGTGGGTTTGCAAATTTGTAGTAATTTTATGAAGAGGCGAGAATAGCGGGAAGAAGACGTTGGAAGAATTCAAGGAAAAGAAAAACTTGGTATGAAAAACTGCTATAAATCCATCCATTATCTGATCCAGTTTTCATCGAAAACTCTCTCATAGTTCTTTCATTTTCTTTTTCCTCCTCGGATTCAAACTGGTCATTCTTAGTTTTATTTATCAGTTTGTTTCAGAGGTTTTTCATCTTTTTTCGACAAAACTCGTCTTTTGTTTAAATTTCCTGTTTCTTTTTTTTCCTCCGATTCATTTCTTCTACTTTTTTTGCAGGCTTTTGCCACTTTACTATTTCATTTATCCAAAGCAAGAACAATTCATTAATAAAAGATGTTGGGCGATTTCTTGAACGGATTGCTTGTGTAAGTCTCTTTTTTAGGGTTTTAGGTACATTTTTGTCCTAATAAATAATATTTCTCAAGTATGATCTTATTGTGTTACGATTTCAGGTTGATCTTTGGATATGCATATCCAGCGTTTGAATGCTTTAAAATGGTGGAGAAGAAGAGAGTTGAGATGGATGAACTCAGATTTTGGTGTAAATATTGGTATTAAAATCATTATCATTTCATTACATTAATTACATTAACACTAATACTCTTATTTTGGGGAAAAAATCAATGGTGGGTTATGGATTTTTGCAGGATCCTCGTTGCTTTCATTACAGTTATTGAGAGGATAACAGATATATTCATTTCCTGGTTGCCCTTGTATGGCGAAATGAAGCTTGGATTATTTATCTACCTATGGTACCCTAAAACCAAGGTAATCATACAACACTGTTTATTTTATTTGATTCGACTCAAAAAATTAATGTATTCCACTAATGCAGGGAACCAATTTTGTTTACGACACGTTCTTGAGGCCTTACATGGCGGAACATGAAACCGAAGTGGATCGAAAGATCATGGAGCTGAGAGCTCGAGCATGGGACGTTTTTACGCATTACTGGGCAAACTGCTCAGAAATGGGATTGGCAAAATTCTTCGAGATGTTCCAATACATTGCGGGCCAAACTGCGAAGTTCAATCAAGGAAAACCAGCTAGCTGTAAGAAGTATGAGGAACGAAGTTTCAATATTCCGCCACCACCTTCTCCGAACGGTTTACGGAGTCCGATGGCGAGGAACAGGGGGCCATCAACACTGAGCCGAGTCAACTTTGTAGATTCACCGAGGTTCGGCCAGCAACCGGATAGCCCGTCGACGTACGAGTTCGACAACGACGACGACTCGATCCCGTATTCCCCAAGCAACTCCAGGCTCCAACAAGCTCGTTCCAAGCTCCGACGCACCAAACCACAAGATGAGTAACTTGGGAAGGAAGCCCACAATTGTTTCTTGAAGAACAAGTCTGAAACCCAATTCATCCTTTTTGTTGTTGTTGTTCCATCTACATTCTATTTTTATGCAAAAAGCGACTTTTAAGGTAGAAAGCTTTTTCTTGTAAATTTTGTGTCATAGGCAAGAAGTGGAAAATGAGAAAATGCTTCTCTACAATATATGCGTTTTTTGTAGGTGTTATAAGCTTAACTATATATGATACATGCATTCTTTTTTAATCAAAGCATGAAATTGATTCTTATACTTTCTAGGAGTATTTTAATGAAAGAGAACGAAAGCTGTGGAATTGATGTATAAACTAATTGTCGTATCATATTTTGAATGAGTTAATTAAATCAACATCCCTAAATTATAACTCAATTTTCAAATTGATTCTTATACTTTCTAGGAGTATTTAATAAAAGAAAAGGTTAAGAAATGAAGGAAAAGATGTATTCTTTTATAAAAAAGGGTTAAACAAACATTATTTCATTTACTCGATAACTACAAGCATACAATATTATTTTTCAGATAATAATTACGATGAAACAAATCTTAAAGAAAGTATTTTGAGGATCAAATCTATGTATATATATATAAACACATGATCAAGTAAACTAAGTTGATGACTTGTTACCCTAATTAACAAAACTATTAATGCAATGTATGATTCATCATAAAAACTAAATGGAATTGTACATAAGAATCTATAAAGACTCGATAATCAAGTAGTGGTAAGGATCTGATGACCTCTACAATCTCAGTTAGTTTTCCCCAATCATGAGTAGCTAAAGGGTTGAGCATGTGATTTTGTTCTCCTAAAACATAATTATCACCACGATTCCACTTTTATCACGACCATTGACCCTCAAAATACAAATTAAACGATTCTCTGTCTATTGCAAGAATTATGAAGCAGTCGAGCAACAAGAATTGACTCTGTAACCATCGCTAAGGGAACTCACATAAATGATCACTAAAGTTTGAGTAAGAGCTTTCGATTGTATCTTTCCTCTAAGGTTTCACTCAACCTACATGTAACCTAAGTTAAAGCATATTGTCACACCCTTGGAGCATTAAACTCGGGAACATGCGGCCTTAGATGCTTCAAAATCACTCTTGGGCGTTTTGCACCTAAGTCAGCCTAAAAAACACTAAGCTAGAAGGCTAGTACAACACGGAAGCACAAAAGAACTTGGAAACGATATAACTCACACAAACAAGAGAGAGTTGGGTGAATGCTCTTTGTATTCCATGAAATGAAATGAAAAGTGAAGTGAGTACAAATGAGCTGGGGAAGACCACTATTTATAGTTGAATCCCCTTACAATGGGTGACTAAGATCAATCTAGATCAATGGCTACGATAAGCCCTATTAATTAAAAGTCTTTGTAGCTAAGGAAACTCTATCAATCACTATTAAAATCCCCTATTTAAGGGAAGACACCCAAACCACCATCTCATCACATCAATTAGTCTGATTCTTTCCTTGGATAGCTGATCACACTTGATATGGTAAGATTCCCCCACAATATCTTCTGATTTTCTGTCTCATGCCATATCTTTATTGCCTATGTGTATATAATCTGATAAGGTGCCACTTTCCTTGTTTGTACAGTCAGTGTGAACAGGCTCAGGCTCTTTTGTCCTTTCCACATTTTGGGCCAAGTTTGATGGATTAGTCACGCCCAAGACCATCTTGAGAACCTCTGTCCCGATCTCAAGAACACATGTCTCGGGCCTAATCTCTAGGGGCGTGACATTCTCCCCCACCGAATCTAGCGACACCCTCGTCGCACCATTGGAATGTACTTGGACTTGCCCATCTCGGTTCCTTCTCGATGCCTTGGCTTGTTGTGGTCCCCGTATAGACTGTTTGCCTTGGATTTTGTCACCATGTAACCTTGTACTCTTTTGCCTTATTTCATACACCTCAATTGTACAAACCCTTTCCTACTCGTCTATACTTGCCTCCGAACAGACTGCCTCGATCCTTTGGCAAAGGCTTGGATGACTCCCCTGGTCCCTTCCAACCTTTGACTGCCTCTATTTTCTGGTTAGGTCCTCCTCGACCTAGACTCAATGAAGATGGCAATTTAGACTTAACAAAAAAAGAGTTGTGTTTGATATTTACCTTGTCCCTTTCGATTGCATTCACCTAAAAATACATAAGCCCTCATTTATCCTTACAGTTTGATGCTCTATGCATCGACACTTCTCCCTTGAAGTTCAGTGCCCCTTGTTGCATCGACTCTTTCACCTTGGAGTTTGATGCCTTTACCACCTCACCCATCAGTGGTTTCTCCATGTCCTTCGAGAGCTTGGGTCCCTTCGTCCTTTCCTTGATGTCCGCCTCCTTTGGAACATCCTCATTCACCTGGATGGCCATCAGTGCCTTGGTCCCTTTTCCTTTGTCTCGATATGTTGGCACTTCACATATCCAATTTTGGATCCAAGATATATATGGTGTCTTGGTGGGGAATGTTGGGACAATCGGACTCACCAGGGATCCAACTACGTAAAACCGAAATCGGGAGGAAGAGATGTGAATACTTACAGCGGGTTCCTTGAAAAACAACAAGAACAACAGTGAATACTGGTGGTGTAGATCGGATCGAATCGTAAGCCTGCACGAAATCACGTCTCAGCCTCTACTCAGTTCACCCGATTGAGATCAATATTTGTTTTCCCCAAAACTGTTTTGAGAGAAAAACGACTGCTAGACCTAACACACCCTTTTATATCCATTACCGTAATAACTTAGGGTTTTCAAAGTTATTTCGAATTAACGATAAAATATTATTTAATTAATTCAATTAAATATACATTAAAGACTTATAATATGAATTATAATCTTTAATGTTTATTTAAAAACTTATTTAATTATTCTGAATTATATATACCAATTAAAAGAGTTGTAATCTAAATTACATTCTTTTAATGCTTACTTACTATATTCGGGATAATTAAAATCATATGTATATCAAATATACATATCATAACTCTAGATATATTTTAGTAACATACAACAAATTGTATATTTTTGCTCATTTTGTGACCCTGTAGGTTCTTGTAACGTTAGTAGTAATTATTAGAACAATTCTAATATTGCATACAATGAGTGACATCTAGCAATATATCATTGTCACCTAAGTTACAAGAAATTATGATTCGACATATCTTTTATGTATTACATCCTTTTGTCCTTTATATCTAGATAGACACAAGTCTTAGAATAGTCACACTTGTATAGCCCATCTACTGTTTCTTGATATCTAGAGTAAACTATAATTAATGAATATGATATCACATATCAACTTATTCGAGCACGACCATGCATTTCTAGTCTCACTCAATCAAGTGGTCTGTGATATATTTCCTATTATGTAGGAAGGACAAATCCTATCTTAACCATATACACCCCACTACATATATCGAAATATATTCAATAACAGTATTTATAGTTCAACCAGTTACGGAGCATGTTTAACTGTATCAAAACATATAACAATATATGTTGGGATGACATTGATCTCAAGTCTGAGGATCATACATATAGTTATCACCATGAGCAATGTTATGACCATTACATAATAATCCAAGACATATGCTCATGATGGGTCAATCCAATACATTGTTCTCTAACAATATAATCATGTATCAATTCTGACATCTCTATGTCAATGACAACTCCTTGTCATTAATCAATACCATGTTAGTCTTAAGCATATTATTATTGTCCATGTCCATAATAATACTTGACTATGGATCTTTTAATAATGTTATTATATGGACTTTATTATCTTTCAGTTTATGTTAAACACATACACATAATTGAAAATAATAATGGCAATGCCTTTATTCAATAAAATCGCTAAATAAATATATTATTACAATCATCATATGATTGGTCTTTGGGTATACTCTAACAGGGAATGATAAGAGCTTGATTCCGCTCAAGAAAACTCAACCTGAAAACAAAGTCAAAGTCATCCAATAGGATTACCTTGAAATCTTCCAGGCCCCTCAATTCACCAATTTTGTAGTTCTACTATCCTTGCCACTACAACAATCGACAATGGTTTTGAATTGATGGTTTTGATGGTCCCATTTTCTTTCTCCACTAAGAGATCAAGAATGTAGACAACTCTCTTTGACATGAACAAATCAGTTGCCCTAGTGTCTACTACAGCACTCCTCGGCCGTTCCTCAATGACGATGTCTAAATACATTAACCCTTTCTACTCTCGGCCTCCACTTGCCTTCATAGAATTAACTACCATCATGCCAAGCCTTATAGCCTCATCACCTTTGGGCTTGTCCTCTCTTCTGGACGTCTTGGCTCGATCCCTACCACCATGTGACCCCTCACCTTGGTGGTACCTCAGTTGCTCTACTTCTCTTTTCGGCTTAGCAGCCTTGATGCTTCTAATTGTGCCAAGTGTCGCTACCTCTGGTTCATCCTCCTAACTCAATATGGTAGCCAACTTGTTCCTCTTCGGGCAATCCCTTGCCATGTGCTTATCCCCAAAAAAGGTAGCACGTGAGATGTTCTCTATTTCTCTCTCATTCTCTGTCTATGTCACCAGATGACCTGAACTTGTCTTTCATACAAAATTATATAGATCCTCCACTCCTTGGCATTTCCTCGCCCTTTTAATGTTCTTCGATTTCATATTTGGATGACTTATCTCTATCTCCCCACCATTGCCCTTGTATCTCAACTTTGGCTCACTCTTCACAGTCTCGAACTGTACTATGGTCTTGACTACGGTTAGCGCTTTAGAAAGGCCGTGGACATCCCTTTGTTGGATCTCAATCTCAGCCTATTGTTGTAGTCCGGCCATGAAGGCGTAGAATCCCTCATCTTCGCTCATGGTCGGGATTTACAATTTGAGTTCTACGTATCACTTCACATACTCCTAGATGGAACCATCATGCTTCAGTTGTTATAGCTTTTTTCGTGCCTCAAGTTCGACCTTCTTGGGGTAGAAATGTTCCTTGAA